TGATGATGATTTATTTATATATGATAAGCACTTAAATGCCACACACCTTATGGAATGATCTTATACTTTGCCCACTTGTAAAGCTTATCATTGATTGCAGGTGATTCCATGAAAACTACAAGAAATCCAAGAGAGATTCTCTAACCTGAAGGTCAACTTCCCTGCATGCTTTCATGAGTAGAAGTCATCAGATCTTTAACCTTTTCCAGCTCATTTCACTGCTCCATTGTGAGCCACTGACCTTCTTTCTTCCCATGCATCTTTTACTTGGAATCCCCCATTGACCAGAAAAGGTATTTACATCAATGGAAGCTAAGACAGAAAGAAAGCTCTCTTCTACTATCTTGTCACATTTGCATGGTTGTCGTCAAAGACGATTACGTGCAACAATGCCATACCCTTCCCTCGACATTTCGAGGCTTCAACAGATAGCTTCTTTCCAAAAGTCTTCGGCAACCCACTTGTGTGCTGTTGCCTTTACAACGTGGACTCAACCCATGGACACGTCACTCGAAAGGACTTGGAAAGCTAAGACGAAACATCTCCAATCCAGTAAAGCTGTGTGAGCATGTAGTGACAATTGTTTTCCATTGGCAGGTGGGATGAACCTGGCTGATCTGCTTCAGCTTTGCAGGCTTCTCCTTCTTTATGTTCATGGTCTCTTTCCCTGAAACAGGCATGGTTGTTGGCTTCATGCATTCTTCCTGCAACTGTTCCTGTAACATGGACTCAGTGTGGACGAGACATGGTCGGGCAACATTTGCAGAGAAAAGAGAGGACATACCATGATCTGCAATGCGTTGTGGGCGAAAGCAAAGGTTTCCCTGTGACCACCACCACCACCACCACCACCAGAAGCTTGCCATGTTCAAAGAACTAAAAAGAAGACAAAGGGAAAACATGAAAGAGGAAATCATGGACAGGTCTCTCCGAATCTTTCCTCTTGATCTTGTGATGCCCACTGCCCATGAATCCATTTTGTATTGTGTAGGTCTCCCTAGAATTAGAAGACGCAAGCTTTTGTCTCTCACATTCTGAGGTACACCAGCAACTTTTTTTCTAGGGTTAGGGCAGTGCAAATCTTCTGGATGGACCATTCTAGCTATCAAAATACCTAAACCAAAGTACATCTTTAGCTTCATGTGGGTTTGGTGATTTGGCCATTACGGGGTTTTATAGTTAGCCTTCTTCTTAGATGCTCTTAGGTGTATGAATTGGAAAACTTTGAATCTACGACATTCTTTTACATTCTAAATAAATACATATAAACTTGTTATTAGTGTAGAATTTGTGAGCATAAAAAAATCATAATATGTTGCTATTACATAGAAAAACTTTAATGCTAGAATTAAGATCAAATAACAATATATCAGATTTTCGATGTATAGCTTTGGATGTTAATTAGAAAAAAAAACTTTATTTGATTTGTAAGAACATTGTCATTGAATTCGAAAACTATAGTTATATCGATATATAAGGAGAACTAGACTTATCTTCTCCTCTCTTACTTTCCTTCGTAGGATTACAATGATCGATAGATCAGAAACAATGGAGGATGAGAAAATAACTATTACATAGTCACGTCTCCTGTTCTCGAGATCCTGTCTATTTATCAGCAAAAGCAAAATATCTATGATAAGTAATATGATAGTTTTTCCTATTATAATTTGACTTTTTTTTCTAGTTACTAATAACTATCAATCAAATTCAATCATATATATAATATATCTTACTTAATTAGATATTACCATATAATTTAACAAAAATCACCGATGATAGCTTGATTGATAACACAAAGTCAAATGGAAGCTTTGGTGACCAAGGGCTAAATATTGCTTATACTTACCTAGCCAAGCATAGATTAGGTTAGAGAGTATCTCCAATCTAGTCTAGGACATCTATCAGTAAGTGATTGATGATCTAAGTTCGAGATAGGTATCTAGAATGATGCTTGTGGTTCTTTCAATATTGAAGTAAACTAGAACTCGCCCATCTAGATTTGATCATCTTTACTGCAGCACTATCTATTCCATAACATCAACTATGATGCCAATCCCTAATGTCTCAACAATATGGAGTGCATTATATGGATCCTTTCCAACATTTAAGAATTGTACGAGCTAATATCTTTGGTTAAATAAAAAACATTTAAATATCTATTTATCATCTCTTGTGAATCTGCCTTATCCAACCAATATCCCTCCTCACACTAATAAAATTAATTTACTAGTTTCATCTCACCACATAATTTTCTTAACACTAGTAGGGTTATTTTCCTTTGTCCTTTATCGACATAAAGCATGATTGAGCCGGTAATTATCGTGTGTATATATATATATATATCCAAGAGACATCCGATTATTAATATACAAAACTTACCACATCTTTCATTTTAGTTGTCATGGTAAGGTATTTTATTATTATTATTATTATTATTATTATTATTATTATTATATATATATATATATATATATATATATATATATATATATTCTTAGTTAATTTAGCTGCAGGAGTCCGATCTCATTCCACGATTAAATACCACCTACGTTCCTAAACTCTAAACATCAAACCCTAAATCCAACCCCCTTGTTTTCTTGGTCATTAAGCTAACTTCTCATCGGGTCCCATCAACGCATCCCCACGCCGTCACGCGGTTCTCCAAAGGATAAGAACTCGTCGCACATACTTTTTCTATGCGCCACGCTTCAGCCACCATCCATTCATCCAACTTCAGCAATCAACGGCAGATATCTACTGGTCGCATCCGGACAAGTATGCGAGCACAAGCTTTCATCCACCACCGGTGCCGAGTGCGCCCTGACTCACGAGTCCACGCTCACCCGCCGCGCACACCACAAACCGCCAACCACCTTTCTCCACGTCACCCCTCAAACCGAATCAGTGGGGCCCGCCGGTTCCACCCCTCGCCTTCTCCGCCGCCTTTAAATACCGCTCCCCGCCTCCGCCTTTCTTCCCTTTTCTCCCTCCCTTCTCTCTCCATCACCCGCTACGCTCGACGTCGCCATGCTGCTGCCCGTCGACGACCACTTCCCCCCCCTCGACCTCTCCTGGCTCGACCCCGAGCCGACCGCCTGCCCCTCCCTGTCCCCGGTCGAGCAGCGGAGGCTACGCCGGAAGATCTCCAACCGCGAGTCCGCCCGCCGGTGCCGGATGCGAAAACAGCGCCACCTCGGGGAGCTCCGTGCTGAGTCCTCCCGGCTCCGCGACGAGAACCGGGAGCTGGCGAGCCGGGTTCGCACCCTGGCTCAACAAACCCTGCTCCTCCGCCGGGCGAACGGCCGGCTTCTCGCCGAGTCCTCCGCCCTCCGCTTGAGACTCACCGAACTCCGCCGGCTGGTCCTCCTCCGGCAACTGTTGACTCACGGCGGCTTTGGTTGTTTGGGATACGAGCAGGAGTTAGCGTCGCTGATCGCGTGAACTGGCGGAACTGGGAAGTTTCTGGACCGGGTCCCCTTTTTATATGCGGTGGACATTGGCGGGTGTTGTTTTGGGTGGAAGTTCTCGTGTGTAAATTACTAATTCATAATTTACCTTTTCGGGTCTAACGTTTAATAAATAAATAAATAAACAAAGTGGAATCCACTTTAATTAATATTTACGCATCCGCGTCGCGCATCGCGGCGTTCTCTAACTGCCTCAAGATTCGTAATGTATTGATGGACGACGATCGTTGCATAATCAAGAGAACACACGAATCGTCATAAAAATTTCCCCGACGGTCGGGTCTGGAACGCACGAATCTCGAAGCAACGCTTTTCTCCCATGGGACTTCAAAGCAACACATAAAAAAAAGGAAGGATGGTGCGCATGATGTAGTGGAATCGATCTTGCTTCGACAGCGAGATCTAATGGAATTGATTGGTTTGTCGTGAGATGAGCAAAGCCGAAGGCGATCTGACGTCGGTACATATTTAATGGATCGCTCACGTATCGAGCTCGGTGCGTCGAGCGTCCAAAGAAGGGATGACGCTGGCGGTGACGGTGACCGCCTAAAGCTGCGAAGCGTAGCAATGAGACCGAGAGAGAGAGAGAGACGGAGTGACGTGCGTTGATCCATTTCTTTCTAAAGCTGCTTTTGACGGCAGTGTGGGTTAAAGCTTCTGCAACCTTTTTCTTTAATCTTGGTAATGAATCTTTATTCCACTCTTAGTGACTTACTGTTCTCTCTCTCTCTCTCTTTCTCTCGGATATCTTCTTCTTTATATCAGCAAGTTAGGGTCAACGTCCACAGCTTTAGCGTGGAGGTAATGGAGGACAGACAGTGTTCAGTAAAGAAGGGTGAGGGGCGAAAGGTCGAAAGACGGGAGGAGGTGGAGCTGCCTGTGATACATCAGCGTTATGCAAGTCATGCATGAGCAAGCAAGACAAAGAAGATGGGCACGTCAACCATGGATTAAGATTCCAGGATAAAACGAGAGGAGTTGAACGTGCTGTTCGCAATATTCTTGATGGAGAGGATGAGATATTGTGCTGATAAAAGCAAGCTCAAATATTCCTTATCATCCAAAAACATTCTAAAGCACGGCCGACACCGAAAGCAGCTTCTTCGAATTGTTGAACAGTATTTGTTGAAGGCGTTTGGTTACTGATTTCTCGACCTTACAACTTTGGGGAAAAGAAGTTCTCGATTGCTTTCTCAATCCACTCCTTCCTTTACTCATCTTATTCTTCGTGTATTCAACTCTCTTCTTCTATCTCTTATCCCATATCTCAATCTCTATCATACATATTTTTTTCTTGTCATGTAGATCGGCTCTCTGTATTCTTAAATATTTTTTTCTTTTTTTTCATGTGTTTTCAGTTTTCTTGCTTTCTCTTCTAATCTTCCTTAAAGATTCCTAAAAGAAAAAATAATCATGATATAATGTAGACTATTATTTCAACTTAGATTCGTCAATTATGCTAAGAAATTCAATCGGCTATTATATTATTGTACAAGTGATATATTTCAAGTTCTAAGTTCAAGTAAAAGTGTCATATATTATTATTATTATTATTATTATTATTATTATTATTATTATTATTATTATTATTATTATTATTATTATTATTATATATATATATATATATATTATTTTTAAAATTTTTTTTTTTGCATATCAAGATAATTTAAACCTCCCCGATCCTAAGACTAATCAAAGTTAATTTATTAATTACAATAGAAAATAAATCTCATAATAGATTATATAGATGGTATAAGGCTTTTTGTCAAAATTTCTTCCTTGTAAATCAAAAAGAGGAAGAAAAAAAAATTTCCTTTAGAATTGAGCTAATGAGTTCAGAATAATAAATATATATTGAAGTTAGCAAAATACAGTAAGTTAACAATTTTTTTCTCTGGACCTAAAAAATTCGACCCAAAATATGAGACCTTAAATGCTCCTGTGTCAAATGGGTTGAACGACATGCTTTAAACCTCTTTATAAGAACTTTGAAGTATATCTTCGGAGGGTGGGACAAATGATAGGAAATATTCTGGTAATCAATCCCTTCCTGCTAACTAGTCAACACAAGGGCACTAAAGTAAAAAATAAAGGCCTAGTCACACCCCTAATATAATGACATGGAGATAGCTATAACTTATTGGGATAGTCTACAGGAGGCCATTAGGTCGATCTTGTCACCCTTCGTGGACAACGGTCTATAGGCGACTGTTGGGGTCTTACCCTCCCTCTACCCCCTCTCTTCGGTCGACTCTTATAGATAAAACATTATAGGGGAGGTTACAATTATTATATATTTATCGCCCCCATGGACAGAACGCTAGAGGAAAGACATTACGATCGTTATAAGTAATTTTCGATCATGAGGCAAAGTGTTCAATCGTTATAGGTGATTCCCTCGACTAGACAAGTATAAAGTCAACCTGACGCCAACCCAAAGGTCGAATCTCCTTGTGAATAACTTCTTCATACTACATATCTTCCCGAATCTAACTTAAGCGTTAGAGAGGTCGGGTCGAGAAACACACCATAATATTGACCTTTGTGCGGGAATGCACCAATGAGTCGGATTCTACGTGGGCCCAATCTTGAGCCCACATCAAACACTTAGACTCCATCCGAAAGATCACCTTAGAGTCATCTCACACGCCTCATCAACTACCTCATAGGATTGCCATATGGGTTTCTCGAACACCCTTATGCCTTCAGGTCCAAATTGAATCGGATCGACATACAATCGACGATTTGCTATCCACAACACCCTCCAATAATCTTATTATGAGATATTACGGGAGTATTGGAAACTAAAATTTTACCATATCTTTAGCCCCAAAAGCCTTTGCATACACATTTAACGAAAATGTATATGCACAAATTAGAGGTCAACTATTGTTGCGGTCTCAGCATTCTTCGCATGCATATATATCCCAACTTTACGACGACTGCTTATTTTCCAAAGGATTCAAACGCACGTAATCTCCAAGAATGTGTTCGAGTGGTCTCACTGACTCACGCAAGAAAAGTGGCTTTAGAATGGATTGACCTAGCTGATGTGTAGGATGGTCCTGTGATGGAGATTTCACGTGATTCGTGCATTTTCTTAGGGCTTATCCTAAAAGTTTTGGGACTCTTCCATCTGCTTTGTGATCGAGTGGACACTATGACTGTTGCCAACTATGTTTACTCTCTGATTCCTTTACATTTTTTGTGCATGCAAAAAAGCATTGCTGTGAAATAGAAAAGGAGGATAATGACTTCATGGGATAGGTAGAGGTTAGATTACCATATGGATAGGAAAAATGGAGAGAAAACGAGAGGAAGGAGAAGAGGGAAACAAGAAGAAGAAGAGAAGAGAAGAGGAGCGGAGAGGAGAGGAGAGGAGAGGAGAGCTAAAAAAATATAAATCAATTCAAAAAAATAAAACTATAATTATTTTTAGAAATGTTTTATTAGATCTGTGGTTCCATTGATTGAGTCATCAGTTTGCAATGTTAAGTTTAAGTTTGATTTTGATAACTATGATTGTGTGAGTGTGACACGCACATCTCGAATGATCAAACACATTACAATAAGCTTTTGTTGGGTAGGAAGCCAAGCAATAAATGAAGTTTTATGGCACTTCTAAGTTCATTTTCCTAATAAATTTTATTCTACAGTTTTCTATAAAATAAGCATTATTTTAAGAAAGAGCTTATTTGATCCATTATTTTAGCCTTCTAATCTATTGTGAATGTTCTTATGTATTGCTTAACCTATTTGCTAACTACACAATAATAGAGTATTAGTGATTAAGACATTTGCAGTCTTGAGGTCACAAAGATTGGATCCTTTGGCAAATGTTTAGTATGCACACTTTATGATACTTGAATTAAAGGAGTAATTTTTTGATAAAAAATAGAAAACTCTTATGGATATATGACTGAAACACCATTTTCCAGTATAATTATTGCATTTTATTTGCTCAAGAATTTTTAGTATATATATATATATATATATATATATATACACCCTTGCAGAGGAACAGGCGGAATTGTTGGCCGCATCGAAATCAACGTTGACCCGTAATTCCCTCAAAATGCAATTCTCTGAGTTCTCTAACCAAACAGATGGTGGGCATTCCGAAGCCTCTGTGACGAACGCACACAGAGAAGTCTCCTGATCAAACGAGAGAGTTCGAACATTCAAAATGCAATTCTCTGAGTTCTCAAACCAAACAGATGGTGGGCATTCCAAAGCCTCTGAGACGAACGCACACAGGTAAGTCTCCTGATCAAACGAGAGAGTTCGAACATCTAATTTTGCAAGCCAAATAAACAACACCAAAGGCAACATAAAGATAACCAAAGTTACATAACGTAAATTAGCACACAAGTCTCATCATTCATGGATGATGAGGACGACAGTAGCAACGCAGGCTTTATGCATCTGGAATCCAACCGCATACCAAATCCAAACGATCGTTTGGGGCAACAGCGAGGGGCGGATCAATGGATGGTGCAGGTGGACGAAGAGGAGGGATTCTTGTCTGCCGCTTTGTCATCGACGACGGCGCCACCGCCGGAAGACTGGGCGAGCTTCACGCCCGGCCAGTCCCGGCACATGCAGTGCTGCCCCTCGGCGATCCGCTGGTGGACGGACGCGACGTGGCGGCCGCAGCCTCCCCAGGTGGTCTTCCCGCACTTGCCACACTTCACCTCGTAGCACATCCTTGCCCTGTCTCCGATCTCTGCACAAGAACACTTCCCTCAAAGCTAAGATATGCTCTCCATCCCCGATGGACGACCAATTTATAGCATTTCAACCATAAAAGACGGAATGCTAGCGTCAGTGGTTCGGTGATCCTTAATATCCATGTACCTTGTGAACAACAAGCGGTGGATTCAACGCCACGATTTGTCCGTCGCCTAAGCCGCCGACAAGGAATTAAGACGAGCAACAGCAGATTCTCTTTCACGGGGCGGATTCACATTTTGAGCAACAAAGCTTCATGTCCTTTGCTTGGAAGAGCCTTTGTCCTGCAATAATGATTTTGACTTTCTATCAATGGGCCGTAGTCCATGTACAGTCGAATGTGTTTTAATGCACCGCCAATGTCGTTACCAAGGTTTTAATACCCACTCACCATTTCTTCTACCTCAAGGAGTCGAACCGGCGTATCAACGATCGAAGCGTAGGTTTAACCGTAAAAATACAAATATGATCACATATTAAGTTCAAAAAATGAGCTAAAAAGTATCTTATAGGTACTATTACTTGATAGAGCTCAGAGATCGAGCTCTGACGGTACCATCGCTTGACATGGATGGTATCATTACTATCAGCAATAATTGAATTGTTGGTGATATCATCACCTAAACCACCTAGAAGACTAGGTCTTCCAGGCAGTGCCACCGTTGGTCAGAGTCCAGCAACCTAGTTGAGCCTTGTATTCGGCCTAAACCATCCTATCTCCGAGCCCAGTTGGCCTCTAACAGAGTTGATTAGATTACCTCCTAAATCAATTCTAATTATCGTTCTAACTATGATTAAGGCAAGCATAGTATGGTATGTCGATTTTTCACTCGGCGATCCTCTGGTGAACTTCTCGACGAGTCTTCCAGCGAACTCCCGACCAACCCTCTTCCGGCGAACTCCCGACCAACCCTCGGCTAGTCTCCGACGTGCTTTCAGCGAGTCTTCCAATGTGCTTCCGGTGATCTCACAATGAACTCTCGGCGAGCTCCCGGTATATCGTCCGAGTCTTCGACTCCGATCTATCATCTACTTTATGCCTTACTGCTATCGTAGTTAATCATGCACACTTATCTCAATACATGAATTAGATCAAATAATTTATCAATTGATTTCATCATCAAAATCTGAGATTCAACACTTCTTCTGATTTAGTATGAGAAGCATTGCCATTGATAGTCGCGAGTATGTATTTCTAAGAAAATGAAGTTCAAACTTCTTCGTGAGCTAGGCAAAAAAATTGATGGGAAGCGACTTTTAGCGGGCATTTCATTCTTGTGCTAGGCCTCTTAACATGAACAGAAAGGGGCAGCACATCAAAGTGTCTAAAGTATCGTATAATAACATTTGGATACGAAAAACTATAATTTGCTATGTCGATTCGATATTACCATCGAATGCCTCTAAGGACGAGAGGCAGAAGTTCATTGGAATGGATTCCACCTGGATTTTCTAAGTGAATAACAATCGACACATTGTGGGGTTGACTAGTGTTTCTCATTTTGATTATTAGAACTCTTGTCTTATCTCCTCTAAAAATCGGTCTATCTACTTTAGTTAGATCTGTAAGGAATCTTCTATCAACTTTGTCGATTGGGCCTCAATTCAAGCAAGATAGAATGGTGGTGTGATCCATCGAATTCTATGGTTGGGAATTGAAGTGCCCTCTTAATCGACGGTTCGATAGGTCTCAGGTGCTCTAGGATGTCGATTTCATGTCCGGTCGAGGAACCTTGATGGGTGCCGATGCTAATCAAGGTGGAGCCGGTGATGGTGGCTAAGCTGGTAGCACCGATTGCTAGATTATCTAGGCAAAAAGCGAAGCGATGACCTCATGCATGTTAGCATCTACATTTCCTAAGTGAGATTTAATAACACTTTGACAGGAATAAGTGATTCAATGCGTGAGTGATTATGTTTGCGATATTGGACCTTTTTCTAATATAAAAAATATTAAGAAAAAAGTAATTAAGATTATAGTCAACCTAACGAAACCTGAATCCATGTGTTAGGTTGCTAAGTTATCTGAGATGAATTCAGTTTTCTTCTCAGCCCGTTGAGAGCTTATCACTTGTGTGCCTCATATATACCGTGGAACTAATGGGTAGAATCAATTTCTCACAGGAGTGGTGTAAATTATGATTTGCATCCACTAAGTACCATAAGTTTCTCAATAATCAATCGAACCGATAATAAGATCAGCATATAGAAAATATCGAAATTTAAGCACACATAGGACTTAGCGTACCAAACGAAGCAGCGTAACTGACAATAGCACAAAAGTGAATTAAAACGGAACCGGTGACACACTCCTGACCCCAGGACAACACGGAACACAGCCAAGAAAACGACACAGAAACTTAAAGCAGCAGTGGCAGCTGTAGTCGACAAACACAAGTCTTGCGAACATTGCTCGCTTAGTATTCATCCCCTTCATCGCCTTCATCACCCTCAGCAGACTCTGCGCCAACCTCCTCATAGTCCTTTTCCAGTGCAGCAAGATCCTCACGAGCCTCGGAGAATTCCCCTTCCTCCATTCCCTCGCCAACATACCAGTGCACGAAGGCCCTCTTGGCATACATGAGGTCGAACTTGTGATCGATACGTGAGAAGACTTCAGCGACGCTGGTGGAGTTGGATATCATGCACACAGCCCTCTGTACCTTGGCCAGATCGCCCCCGGGAACAACACTGGGTGGCTGATAGTTGATGCCGCACTTGAATCCAGTCGGACACCAGTCGACAAACTGGATGGTCCGCTTGGTCTTGATGGTAGCAACAGCGGCATTGACATCCTTGGGCACCACATCTCCACGGTACATAAGGCAGCAAGCCATGTATTTCCCGTGGCGGGGATCACACTTGGCCATCATGGAAGAGGGCTCGAAAGCACTGTTGGTGATTTCGGCAACAGAGAGTTGCTCGTGGTAGGCCTTTTCAGCGGAGATGACGGGAGCATAGGATGAAAGCATGAAATGGATCCTTGGATATGGGACCAGATTGGTTTGGAACTCAGTGACATCAACATTCAGCGCGCCATCAAACCTCAGCGATGCAGTCAAAGAAGAAATGACCTGTGTAACAGCAAACTTCATCACGTTTACTGCCGAAAAATATTGAAGGATTCATTAGCTAGGGATTGTAGACCTGAGAAACAAGCCGGTTGAGATTGGTGTAGGTGGGGCGTTCGATGTCGAGAGATCGCCTGCAGATGTCATAGATTGCTTCATTGTCAAGAAGAACAGCCACATCAGTGTGCTCCAGAAGGGAGTGAGTGGACAGGACACTGTTGTACGGCTCAACCACCGAGGTGGAGACCTGAGGTGAAGGGTAGACCGTGAACCCCAGCTTCGACTTCTTCCCGTAGTCGACAGAGAGGCGCTCAAGGAGGAGAGAGCCAAGGCCAGAACCAGTTCCTCCTCCAACAGCATTGAAAACAAGGAATCCTTGAAGGCCAGTGCAGTTGTCTGCGAGCTTCCTGATGCGATCGAGGCAGAGATCCACAATTTCCTTGCCGACTGCAGGAATACGCGCACAAATGTCAGTAAACATCACTGGAATTGCGTAACGCACCACAAAGAGGATGGGAAGATGGATCAGATAATTACTGGTATAATGGCCTCTAGCAAAGTTGTTCGCAGCATCTTCCTTGCCACTGATGAGCTGCTCAGGGTGGAAGAGCTGGCGGTAAGCTCCAGTTCTTACTTCATCGATGACAGTGGGTTCCAGATCTACAAAGACTGCACGAGGAACATGCTTTCCAGCGCCGGTCTCACTGAAAAAGGTGTTGAAGGCATCATCACCGCCACCGACGGTTTTGTCACCAGGCATTTGGCCATCAGGCTGCACAAGTGGGCGGTATCAACACAGGCAAACAACATGCATTGCTTGGGACCAGATCTACAATGTTTTGGTAACAAAAACGCTAGCAAAATCTATGCATTGATTGTGCAAGGAAAATACTATACAAACACCTCTAAATAATAATCATATTGCTCGAAATTGGCAGGAAAGAGAGACTTGATGAATAAAGCCATAAATTTCACAGATCTACGATTATTTCATATTAGCAATCCAGATCTGACCATGTAGACACGATCTGGTATACGAAGAAATAAATGTTGCAAGTGCATTCTGAAAAGAGTACTATCTGTTCACAAAACCGCGAAAAGAATACATTCTACAGTGTTCGAATAATTAGCATGCCTACTGAAGCCCATATTTACACACAGATCTACACCTATTGCATGTCCAATACCAGAGATTATTGTCCTTCAACGATTAAATGCGCCTTATCTGACATTTTAATGAGTAATATTTGTTGAAAACGTACATACATTGATCATTACTTACGTTCGTCCATTAGCCTCATAATATATCAGAACTAAAGAACATCAAATGATAAACAATGAACAAAGCGCCAATACCAAGAAGCCTATGAAGATCTGAGAAATAGCTATTAACATTCCAGATCCATACATTAGGTACGCAAGTACAGATCTACCGCTCAATAAGTGAGATCAAGCGAGAAAAAGGCCAAAATACATCAGGAAACACAAATTAAACTGCAGGAACTCAGGATCCAACCACTAACCACCGAAATTTCATAGATCTAAACAATGTGTGACAGATCTACTAATATGGCACTTATAATGCCTAAAACGAATGATGAAAGAGAACAAATAGATCAACCACCGATAGAAGGAGGATATCGAACCTGGATGCCATGCTCGAGGCAGTAAAGCTCCCAGCAGGCGTTGCCGACCTGAATCCCGGCCTGCCCGATGTGGATCGAGATGCACTCTCTCATTTTCGCCGATCCAAGCAAAAAAAAACAAGAAGAGGTAGATCAAGAGAAGAGAGAGCAAATGTAAATGTAGAGAGCAGGCGTGTGCTAAGACGCCTAAGGTTGTCTGCAAGCCCTCGCGTCCCTCGAGCGCCTTTTATAGGACAGAGGGGGTGGCGGAGCGCGATGCTAGGGCTTCCCCTCCTAAACCGGGGTTAGCTTACCGTGGTTTGTTAAGCTGATCTGGTCATTGGTTAAGCGCCCACGTCGAAGGTTTAACGTCTATTTTTGGCGCCTGAATTCGATTTCGAATTCCAAATGGACTCGCCGCCGTACAAAAATTACGATTCTCTTGCCACTAGATGGATGTGGATCTGACGGACAATGCCGCGTGGAGAGTGTTGGCGAGAAGATGCGGTGTGATACATCGTAACTGACCTTCTACTTACGACGGTTATGGCCGACCTTCTGGAGCTCCGCTTCGGTCTTGGTCTACGTTGGTTCGACGGGCACGTCATGACAACCGATGGGACACCTCAACGCAAGACCCGCTACCATCTACTTTTAATCAGAAATAATTTAATTTAAGTGACTAATTCCAACTAACAAGATTAGAAAATACTGCATACCTTAGAGGAAAAAATATAGGGTAAATTCTCAGAATTTTTTTTATTTTTATAAAGCGTTTTCGTTTTGATTTATTTATGTTAGTGTTAAAAAAAAAAGAGACATCAACGAGTTAAAGTCTATTTTATGTCATGTAATTTTGGTCATAATATTTATGATTTACTTGTATCTAAAATAATTTATATATATATTAAAATATAATATATAATTTGATTAAATATGAGTTAATAGATGTTATAGTCTGATTATGTGATATACTAACTCATAATAAATTATTAATATAATAATACATATAATTTAAATTTAAAAAAGAATTAATATCAATTTTAGTCATTGTGATTATGGCTATGAACCAATTAAGCCCTTATGGTTTGTTCGTGTCTAAAATAACCTCTATATTTAAATAAATATAGTATATATGACTCTCCCGTTAAGTTTGAGTTAAAAGATGTTAAAGTTTACTTACGTGACATGCTGATTCATAATAAATCATTAATATAATAATATATATATAATTTGAGTTAAAAAAAACTTAAACTACCATTAATGGTAGTATGAGGCATTATCGTGGAATCGAACACCACTAGTAGCATCGAGTTGTTGCTACTTAGCAATGCATCATACGCACGCAACCTCTCTCACACTTATGATGAGTTCAAGAGCTTCCAATCCTATCTCAAGTAGATGTGTATTGACAAGTTCGATGCTAGGCACATGATGGTCTCTTAGTCCATTTTCCTCCTCTTGAGCATCTTCATCCCCACCGCTTTTTAACTCGTTCTCTCCTGTGCCCTCACCCATCATGCTTATAATGTGGTGGTCCAACTCTCTCTCACTTCTACCTACGACCTCTCTTACCTTTATCTCTTCACCTTCGTCCGTCGTTACGACATCCGTCACTTCATCTTCTTTAATAAGATGGACCTTAAATTTTTTTTTGTAAACTTAAATTATATGTATCATTATATTAATGATTTATTATGAGTCAATATGTCACGTAAACAAACTCTAATGTCTATTAACTCAAACTTGACGAGAAGAGCTTTATGCTATGTTTTTTAAAATATAAGAGTTATTTTAGACATAAGTAAATCACAATGACTTAAGTGGTTGATGACTAAAATCATAAGAGCTAAAATAGATATTAATATTTTTTAATTTAAAATTACGTGTATCATTATATTAATGGTTTATTGTAAATCAACATGTCACGTAAACATTGTCTAACGTCTATTAACTCAAATTTAATAGGAAGAGCTTATATGTTATGTTTTTTAAAATATACGAGTTACTTTAGATACGAGTAATAAGGCCCTGAGTGATTTATCACCAAAATTATAGGGACTAAAATAGACCTTAACTCTGCTAAAGAAGATGAAATAAAAGAATAGTGATGCCACAAAGAGTCATATTATATATTGAATTTGATTTCGGTTATATTTTGAATTGATACATTAACTTTGATTAGTCTGACTTTGATAAATCAACACTATTCGATTTCTAACAAACAGGACTAATGGTCTTAATAGTTTTTGTGTGACGGTATTGCATGCTGGTCTTCCTAATATGAGCTAACCAAGTGTTTTTCAAAATTTCTCCGATCATATATTTAGACAAGTTAGAGCACATAAAGTGCATGTCGTATGCATGGGATGAGAACTTTTTCTCTCATCTATAGAAGATTCTAGTTTCGGATGTCTTGATTTTTAAAGGTGCTTGTTTAACTACTTAATAAATTTTATATTTGTTTAAAAAAATATGTTAGGAACATTAGCCAAATGCCAATTATAGATAAGGGGTGCAACTCTAAAAAAAAAAAGATTAGTATTAACATACAAAGCTCACATATTATATGAAATAATAAAGCAGTAAAAGGACAAATGATGACTGCAAATCATGCTCGATCATGTTCAATGTCAAACCCGATAACATGAGAAACGACAATGTTTCGTCGATTCAAAAAACCATTTGGAGAACTCAGAAGTCAAGTAGAACAGTAAAAAATCCTCATCCCACAGCTTATGGACTAATTAATAGATAGAAAACTATCGGTTCATAGATATCAATCTCTGATGCTCATAATATTATGCATAAGACCTTTTACCATCAATTTCTTGAGTTTCTCATTTTAGACATGAGTAAACGAGGAATGTAAGAATCCGAATCCATTGAAGACACCCCACACAATGATAGTTATGATCATTAAAATCCTATCAAATTTTTTTCGCAATTACGCTTAAGTACATGAAACACAAATCAATGTATTTTCATGTTTGTCGTCAAAACTATCCCAAAAAAGAACAAGAGCTCAACCTAAACAATATTAGCTCTCTTAGTAACCAACAAGCTTAAAGCGAACATTATCAACTAAATATTGATAGTATTATTTATTGAATCTCGAATTTTGATGATGAAACCAATTGATAAGTGTTTATGATTTAATCTGCGTTTTGAGTGACGCATGGTGCTTCGATCAGGATGAGACAATTAAAGCAAGAAGAATCATGTTGGGCCAGAGGATCGGTCGACGTATCTACAGAATGCTTCGGGCATCGGGCCAAGAAGAGTAGATATTGCACCAAGGATATCGAAGTTGCGGAGTCAACTGACCGATTAGGCAATAGGCCGCAAGAGAGGACGATATGCCGAAGAATCGAACGAAGCGTCGAGGGACTAATGACATGTTGAATAACATGATTAATGCTTAGTATTAATTATCTAGATCGAAGTATGTTTTTACATATGCAGGATTAACTACGATAGCAAGGCATAAAGCAAAATGAAGTCCCGAAGTCAAATATACGATTTCGTTGGGAGTTCAAAAGTTCGTCGGAAGTCCAAACGTTCGTCGGAAGTTCTATTGGAACCAGTCAAGAAGTCCAAGAGCTTGCCAAAAAAGCTCGTTGGAACTCGCCAAGAAGATCGTCGTGAAGTCCAGGAGCTTGCCGAGAGTCCACTGGTACATTACCGAGAGATCGTCGAAAGTTCGCTGGAAGCTCGTCGGAAGAAACTAAACTTGACTTGTTTAGCTTAGAATATGTCTTAGGAATTGTAATTAGCATGTAATTGAGATTGGAATTGGGCCAACCCAATTATGGGCCAGTTGGGCTCATGTAAGGACTACGTTTTACCGCTAGCATTATCGTGGCATAGTCCCCGAGACTGTATCAGGCAGTGGTACCGCCAGTCTGAGAGATCGTACCACCCTTGGCAGGGTGTCAAGTGGTGGTACCGCCTAGCACAGTGTAAGCGTCAAATGACACTGGCGGTGGTACCGCCCAGCACAAGCGGTGGTATCGCCTAGCATAGGTGGTGGTAGTATCCGTACCTAGGAAACCCAGGATGAGATATTTTTAGGCTCCAAGTTTGAATCAACTTGAGGCCTATAAATTTACCTCTCATCCCTGGTTAACATACACAAGCATAGAGAATTTAAAGTGGAAAAATACTGTAGAAATCTCTTGTGAGAATTCTCCTATAATCTAAGTATTAGAATAGTTTGAGAGATGAGTGAGTGCTTATAAAGGTTGACTCATAAACCTGTAAACAGGAGAAGAGGGGTGTAAGAAGGAGGTTGATCTTCGTCTATTAAAGGAAGATCGATAATGAATGCCGGTGGCCTTGACGGAAGATGAATCAGCGAAGTGGATGTAGGTCACGACGATCGAACCACTCTAAAATCTGGTTTGCATTTATATTATTGTTATTTACATACTACAAACTACTTTACTTACTTAGTCACTACGCTTCCAAGTTATTACCTTTACGAAACGATTTTTCGTCGGAAACGAATTTAATCGAAACGAAAAGATTTAAATACGACGTGATTTAATCGCTTTACCGCTATACTAATTCATCCCATTTCTTAGTGATGGACCCCTTTCCTAACATTATTGGGATGATTCCATCATCTATATCTAAGTTTAACCTAAGTTTTTTCAATTTTTAAGTATCATATGTCAGACGATTTATTCATTTGCATCGACGATATTATGTTGAGATATTTTTTTAAAAAAGTTTACTTTGAAAGAAAGAGAAAAAGTCGCATGTATACCATATCTATATAAAGTTTTTTTAAATGAAATGTTAAATGATAAAACTTTTTTCTTTTTTAAATCAATAATGTTATAGCTTGGATGTCACGTCTCCATGGGGAGAATCTAGCCATGCTACCAAACATGAAAAAGAAGGTGACTCTCATCAATAGTTCTCCAAGCACAAATCATATCGACGACCCTTACGAACGAAGACACCGAAAGAGAGGATGAACTCAAACTTTCATCATGACCCTTCGAGCTAACACAAAACCAAATGAGAGATGTCAATGGTTGTTCTCAAGACGCAATACGGCGGCTTGGTTCTATATGGATAGCTTGCTAGTTTTCCCTCAGTATATTTCTACCTCCATAGATAGCAGTCACAAAAAATCTAAGGTAACTCACTCACGTTATAACCGAGTTAGTTAGTCTTGGATATAGATTAGGAGAAGAGTAGACTCAAAGATAGAGTCAACTATATGTTGGTACATGAACTAGTCATTAGCAGGTCTTAAATTGGAATTCAGACTAATGCCAACTCGTGCTACACGTTCCTGTCGGATACCTAAACAAATAGGGCTCAGCCCCAATAAACCCCCAGTGAGTCCAATAGAATGACACACAGCAAAACCGACGCCGAATTCTTCCTTGTTTTCCATGCTTCTGTTAACTTGGGATTCTATGTAATCTTGAGATTTCATTCATTTATTCATTTTAAGAACATAAACATTCAATCTCAACACGTACCGAATCGAAGTCTCAATTAGCTAATGAAACATTCAAGTCATCGAGAACATTAATTATGCTGTGTCCGTTTCCGATCTTAAATGCCAGTTGGATTTACTTCGACATCAATTCATTTGTCTCGTAGTGAATCGTTTGACTCGGTCAGTCGTCCCAATTCCATCAGAGTCATGCTGACACATAATCCAAGCATGTCACGCTCACGTGCGGGCCAGCGGAAGGAAACCTGGCCATCCTGTTTTGTTCCGAATAGCCCACTAGTTGGGTGGAGGAGATACGATTCAATCACACGGAAAACGACTTAACGCTAATCGTCTACGTTACTTTGGCTCAATGATGGAGCCGTCAGCGAACGTGTTTTGACGCGCTGCAGCTCTATGATTCGAGTTTGTCTAACCAACTCTCCTCACTATCATCACTACGTGGGAAGAATTAATTGCGCTTCTGTCCCAATAAACATGTGACTTCTAGTAATGATTTGGCGCGTCGCGGTGGGGTTCGGTGAACGTTTCGGATGTTATGTTTGCCAACCGTCGGACTATCCACGTTGGGTACCCGAGTCGGGACATACATATCGGCACGAAGTCTACAAGAGGGAGGAACAAAGTTTGAACGCGTACAGTCGATGGGGCATTCAGTGGTCGGTGACCGTGTGATGTTTGTTCCCATTGGATGTGGTGTCTGCTTCTTGCTGTTCCATAAGAGAAATTACTCGGAAATTTCGGTTCCGGTCACCACCACCACCAAGCGACGGTTCAGTAACTGCCGACGCGCCCGTCTTCGTCTTACCGTAACGCGGTCACGGAAATTTCCTATATATATATATATATATATATATATATAGGCATCCATAAAACTGTCCAACTCATGCCGACTGTTTATTATTATTATTTTCACGTTTTGTTGACGGTTTCTTTTTTTCTTTTAATGCTACGTTTAGTTTTACAATCAAACTTTGGTGTCCACCGTCCAGTAAGAAGAAACTCTAATAATTTGCTTGTTCATTTAATTTTAGATTAAGTTTACATTGTTTTTTATTTGAAAAAATATTTTTTTGATGTATTTACTAGTTTGACTGAATTTTAAAAAATAAAAAAATAATATTTTTAATAGAAAAATTATTATATCAACTAATGTAGATAACGTTCACATGTGAGTTTGAATACAATATCTATGTAGTACAATAATATATTAATAAATCTGATGAAGATTATATATAAATTAAAAGTAGTAGAAACTCTTTGATTTAAAAATAAGTGCTTCTTGGCAGTCATGTCACCTACGATTCCTCCAATGAGTAAACAATTACTCAAAGAAAAACTATGATGATTAAGAGTAATTTATTAAAATTGACTCGGGTATTGACTTAAAGTAGGACTTAGTGAATATTAGGTCATGAAAGTCTACGACCTAATATTAGGTCCTGAAAGCCACGACTTGGGTCACGATATGAAGCTGCGCTTTAAAGTATATATATATATATATATATATATATATATATATATATATATATATAATCGAAAAAAAAAATAAACACACCCCAAATGCAAAACAAATTGGACTCGGTCGACACTGCCGTCCAAGTTAAACGTCTCCTTCTGGATCCAGCTAACGATGTCCGACCCTTACCACGTCCCCACGCGGCTACCATCATATAACACACGTTCATGGAGTCGTTGCATGCTCATCGTTCCTCCCTCCCTCTCCCCTCCCAAGTCTAAGCTAAGTCAAGATATCAAGCAGAAGCATAGACAGATCAATTCTATTGAAACTATTGAAACTTCGGTTTCTTCCCTCTGCAGCCACCATCACTCCTTTCCCCGGTGACGGAGAAACAGATCAATACTATTGGAACTTCGGCTTCTTCCCTCCGCAGCCACCATCACTCCTTTCCCCGGTGACGGAGAGGCTGACGTACTTTCTGCCTTGCACGAATCCTTCAGTAGGTTGATGGCTCCGAGCACCGTTCGTTAGGACTCACGAGTTCCCACATGAAGTCTCCGGTGCGCCTCCCCTTGGTTTGCTTCTTCTTCTTCCTCCGTTGCTTCCTCGATGTACCCTGCTCGGCTCTGCCGCAAACCGAGCGCAACGCGCTCCTCAAACTTCGCGCCTCGCTCGCCGTGCGCGCCAAAGACTGGAGCCTTCAAGCCGATCCCTGCTCCTCCTGGACCGGCGTCGTCTGCCGGTCCAATCGGGTCGAAGAGCTTAACTTGACTGGCCTCCGACCGAACCGGTTCGCCCGCGCCGGCGTCGTCTACCCCCGCCTCGCTCCCGATGCCGTCCTCAACCTCACCCACCTCACCTCCCTCGACGCCTCCGGCTTCCCGCTCCCCGGTCCCATCCCCGATGACCTCGGCAACGTCTCCTCGCTCTCCGTTCTCTCCCTCGCAGGAACCGGCGCCTCTGGTCTCATCCCGTCGAAGCTGGGCTGGCTCGGCCACCTCACCGCCCTCGACCTCTCCGGCAACTTCCTCACCGGGTCGATCCCGGTGGAATTCTCCGGGCTTCATAACCTCACCCACCTCGACCTCTCCTCCAACTCGCTCTCCGGCGCAGTGCCGCCGTCCCTAGGGGAGCTCCGGCAGCTCAATGCCCTGAATTTGTCTAGCAATATGCTCTCGGGATCGTTGCCAGCGGAGCTCGGCGGCCTATCCTCGCTCGTCACCCTCGACCTCAGCTTCAACTGGCTCTCCGGTTCTCTGCCGGAGGTCCTCTTCTTGAGGCTTCCTTATTTGCGTTCGGTCAAGCTGGGCCACAATAACTTCTCGTCCAGTCTTCCCACTTCGCTCTGGGCTCTGGCGCAGTTGGTACATCTTGATGTCTCATTCAACAACCTCACCGGTATGCTCATGGTCGACGCCGTCGCGCGCAATAGCAGCGCTAAAGGAGGCGTCTTTAACCTCTCGAATAACCTCTTCTACGGGTCGATTTCTTCTGAATCCAGCAGAATTCTACAAAGATTTGAAGAGGTGGATCTCTCGACCAATTACTTCGATGGAAGCGAACCCGTCGGCTTTAGCAATGCTTCTGTTGCTTTTAATTGCTTTAGCAGTGCGCGGGACCAGAGAAAGCCTGCTGACTGTGAGACGTTCTACACGGAAAGAGGTCTCCGTTTAGCCCTTTCATCCGGCAGGCGGAGAAAATGTCGTTGGTGGTACGCCGTGGTAGCCGTAGTTTGTGGGGTGGCGTTGCTCGCCGTCGTGGTTGCAGTGCTTGTGAGTTACCTGACGAGATGTGCAGCGCGTTCCGCCGGCCAAAAGGATACCGGCAGCAAGCCTGCTCCTGAAGAGGAGGCGGCAGTATCGCCGTCGCCACCGCCTTCTGCTGCAGACACAGTGAATTTGTCAGCTTCGAATGGTGCTCTCACCGGCACGACGCTGCCGCTCTCTGTTGCAGCTCCGGTGAACCCACTTTCTTCGGATGACGGTGTCACCAACACGACGCCTTCACCCTCTGCTGCAGTGATGGTGAATTTGCCAGCTCCGGGTGATGCCTTCACCTACGAGCAGCTGCTGAGGGCGACGTCGGGTTTCAGCAGCATGAACCTTATCAAGAATGGACACTCTGGAGATCTCTATCATGGTGTTCTGGAAGATTGGGTTGAGGTGGTGGTGAAGAGGATCGGTCTGCTAGCTGTGAGAAGAGAAGCATTCTCGACCGAACTGAAACTTTTCGAGGATTGTTCGGGTGGCAGATTGGTTCCATTACTTGGGCACTGCTTGGAGAATGATACCGAGAAGCTTCTCGTGTACAAGTACATGCCAAATTGCGATCTTTCTACTGCTCTGCACAAGAAATCCGAGCTAGAGGATGGTTTGCAGTCACTGGATTGGATAAAGAGGCTAAAGATCGCAGTAGGTGCTGTGGAAGCTCTGTGCTTTCTGCATCATGACAATAACCCTCCTCTGGTTCACCGGTATGGATGATCTCATCCTGCTTTCAGTTTCATTCCTAATTCACTGACTGATGATCTGCATGAAGAAACATCACAACTCTTCTTGTGTTGACTTCTGCTGGCATTATTGTCTTGAGAATTCATATCTCAAATACATCTTTCGACAATATCATAAGCTCAATCACTCCATGTTTTGGCTGCAGAGATATTGAAGCCAGCAGCATTCTTCTTGATGATAAATACGAAGTGCGGCTCGGAAGCCTCAATGAAGTTTGTGTTCAACAGATCGATGTCCGCCAGAATGTCTTGACTAGGATCTTCAGATCGGCACAGTAAGTTCTGAACACCAGTCTCGATTATTGCTCCTCAAATAGAGATTAATGTTCCTACTCCCAAGAGTAACCAAAGGTAATAATGGTTATTTTGAAGTAGAGCTGTGAATTTTAACACATACACACACACACACAACATATGTGCCAAGTAGATGCCCAGTACCATGACATTTGTTCTATGTCTAACACAAATGGATATATGAATCATACCGTAGATGTATTGTTGCGTATTCATTAAATGATCAGGTCTTTTTGTTCTCAACTTTCTCATGGATGCAAATGTTTGCTTTGATACTACTATATCTCCATTCCAGTTGTCTTCATTTGTTCTGCTTCATGGTTTCCAAAATGTTGCTCATCTCTAATTATTTTGTTTTCTTCCGTCAATGTGCAGGACATCTCGTCAAGTTGTTTCCGGTATGTATTCTTGCTTAAAATGAAGAAAAAAAAAACTCAATTTTGTGTTTGTTGTTTCCATTAAAATGTTCTGGTTGAATGTGCAGGCTTGTCTACAGCAACTAGTGCTTATGATATATATTGCTTGGGGAAGGTGTTACTGGAGCTGATCACCGGAAAGCCTGGGCTCAGTGGATCTAACAATGCTGCTACAAACAAGTGGATGGAACAAACTCTGGCATACATTACTCCCTTTGACAAAGAGCTTGTTTCGAAGATCATGGATCCGTCCCTTATCGTGGACGAGGACCACATGGAGGAGGTTTGGGCTATGGCCGTCGTCGCAAAGTCCTGTCTCGACCCGAAGCCCTCCAAGCGACCGCTCGCGAGGCACGTCCTGAAAGCCTTGGAGAACCCTTTGAAGGTGGTGAGGGAGGTGAATTGTTCCAACAGTTTTACATCGTCTTCAGGTTCATGGCACAGTGCTTTGCTTGGAGGCTGGCGGCATAGCCTTTCAAGCATCAGTCTTGTGAGGCCAGTGGAGGAAGATCGGATGTCGTCAAAGCAAGCAACCACGACGAGGTCTCATCGGGGTGGAGACGATCATTCATTTCCACAGAGCAAGATGTCAAGGGAGATCCACCCAGAGCCAGCAGGACCAGCTCAAGATAGATCTTAAACAGGCTTTTCATGCCTTGGATCAAAAGCATGGCAACTGATTGCCTCAAATGAAGCAAAGATCAACCATTCTGCGCATTGTGTGTCAAATATGCACTTCGATGTAATTAGTGGATAAAAATGTCTCTTTGGAGAATGCAACTGTTATGATTATATTAGCAAAGGCAAGTGATGCTGTGGTCTTAAAAGATATCAGCAAGCTGCATCTGAGACTTCAATCTCCATCTGCATATGAGCAAAGGTAGTGATTCATTATGTTCGCTGCTCCCAATTTAAAAAGATGTTCTCACTTTGCCAAGCAACACAACAGTCGTCGAGGGTATCATATAGAACAGTTTCACTACCAAACCTGAGAATCAAACACTTTCTGGCACAAATCTGAGAATCATACACTTCAAGGTCAACTAATTTTCATTGGAATCATCTTCAGTATTTTACTTCAGCTACAACTTTGTTATATCATGTTAGAAAGCATTTGAAAGGTGACTTAACTATTATGTAAACCTCCAGGAGACTTCCTGTGAATGCATCAATTTCATGTCGGGTCGCAGTTCCATCTACACTGACTGCAGTTGTGAGAGATTTTCCTATACTGGTCCAAGAATATCAAATTCATGGGGCATGTAATCTTCATTTGGACTGTAGTATTTGTCAAGAGAGTGCAAGCTCAAGTTTGTTACTTGTCTTGTGTATAAATAAGCAAACCTCTCAACCTGCAGAAAAGACATCCGAAAAAAAAAAAATCACGGAACAAGCAAGAAAGAAGGAAAAGTGTTGTGATTGACGGTAAAAGGAAAGATACCTGATGAGCCAAGCATGAGCTTTGATAACCAGTCTTCATGAGTTGTCCCCATACCTTGTGAAACTACATTGACAGAATATATGTTGAAAAAAGAGACTAAGCACAAGCAGGAAAGTATCATGACATTCTCTTAGGTAATTTATTTCCAAATGATAAGGAGAAATTAAAGACTAACTAACAGAATAAATGATTCTAATATTCATAAAAATAAAATATTCCAATGAGTTGTGAATATCGAGAGAGAAAAATAATTCTTTTGATAGGATCAAAGTAATTGTTCATGGTACACATACTAAGTCTCTCTTTGAGAAAGCTGCATCTTCAGATAAGTGGAGATTACCTGTTGATAGAATTCCCTCGGGGTATATTGATGCCCTTGCTTATCTTTGATAAGGGAACATTGACAAATATTCTTTCTGATTTGATTTGATCCTAATAAGTATGACAAGCAATAGCCTCGACATGATGTGAAGCCTAAAGTTGTAACAAGTGTATCCTTTTGTAGTCTCGATTAACTCTTCACAAAAAAGACTTCTTATACAGGTTAGTCCAGAGCCATCGAGCAGTCATATCATAACAATAGCATTACAATTTGATCTAATTCATCTCATATTTAGCGTGTTCGATGACATTAATTAATATGAGTCACCCTCCAACCCTAAGCAACAACTTCTGAGTACTTTTTGGAAATTTAGACCATGTAATATCTGAGTTAAGTGTCATGGCAGGATTATTCCAAAACTTAGTTTGACTCATCTTATTTGGTGCAGTTGCAAAGTATATGTGGGTTGTCACAATCCATGGAATGATGCAAGCATTGAGAGTTTGATCCAAGCTACTTTCTATCATCATTCTTGCTTGATCTTTGCATTTAGCATACTGTCTTTCACACATTCTGAGAAGCATCTAGCTTAATCTTTGTATATACTCTTAAAAGGCACAATATATGAAGAATCAGCAACCATCAACAACCAAGTTATATATCTACTATCGGGCCACAGAATACCTTAACCTACTGAACTTGATATACTGTCAAATCTGAGACAAGTTATCTCCCAATTCAGACCAGTCACCTTTAAGAAACATCTTGATATATACCACCTATGTCCCAAGCCTTTCATGATAAGCAATCACTATGGCTTCCCCAAGTTCACATGCTTCATCTTAAATATTAAGGTAATAGCAACAGGGCAAAGGGCCAAAAAAAGAAAATGAAAAGGAGCAATTACTTGCAAAGTGCTAGTAACCTTTTTGGAACTTGGCCCTCTGTGCATGATCACAACTTATTCAAGAATTTATGAATCTTCAGCATTGTCCTCTTGTAGCTGTTCACTGTATCCATCAAGGTTCTCAGATGTCACAAAAAGACTGGCAATTAATGATCATGACATATAGAAAGCCAAAATGTCAGATAAACTCTTAAGAAATTTATGTCAGGTAAATTATAAGCCATTAATTCATCAGAACTAAATAGGAGATATGCACAACCACCTTTACCACCAGATGTTGTAAGAACATGACCCTTCTTGATGAACTTGTCAAACTGCCTCACTTTCTGGACAACCATAGATAGCAGATTTGCATTAGGTGAGCAGGATTTTCTGCCAACCAAATTGGCATCTTGGTCTACATCTATTATATCGAGTTACATTCCCAGGTTCTCTCAGTGATAGGACACATCAGTAACCATCTGAGATCTAAAATACTTATCAAACCATCTCAAATTTCTTTTCAATCGCTGTCGACAGAGCATTAGATCTCGCTGCACAGAGGATGACTTGTGTCTCCAGCAATGAACTCATGGGCAATTCCTGTGCATTCAATGGACTATAGCCGGTCTATTCATTCCTTATACACCTTGCATCATCCAATCAATCATTTTCTGCATAATATTAGCCATTAGGACAAACCGACCTCCATCATACGGTTCCAATGATATCAAATGCTTCCCAACACGCTCACCCACCATATTGTCGGCGGCCGGGGGGCGAGGAAGAACTGGACGACGCGGCTGGCGGCGAAGGGGTCGCGGATGAGGCCCGAGGCGACAACGTT